TGTGTGTGTGTGTGTGTGTGTGTCTGTGTGTGTGTGTGTGTGTGTGTGTGTGTGTGTGTATGGCTTCAAGGAATAAGTGGATTAATTAATTGATATATAAGTAGATGGATGGATAGATTGATAGATGTATGAATGGATGCATGCATGCATGCATGGGCCGGTACCTACCGATATTACACCATCACTAATCTATCCTGCTTTACACATGCACGCGCACATGCACGAGCACGCACACGACAATATCCAGTAATCATCTATACTCTATATAGCATCTTAACACCTACACTCACCCACTCACTCACTCACTCACCCACTCACTCACTCACTCACCACGCACCATGCAGGGCGCACACGTGAACATGCGAGTTTTTAATGAGATAGGTTTTAATGAGGTCTCGCGTGTATGCGCGCGCGTAAGTGGTTGAACCTCAGCATGCTGGCACATACGCGTGGGCACGCACGCACACGCACGCACGCACGCATATATATATATATATATATATATATATATATCGAGAGAGAGGGAGGAGGAAGCGAGAGAGAGAGAGAGAGAGAGAGAGGGAAAGAGAAAAGAGAAGAGAGAAAGAGAGAGAAAGAGAGAGAGAGAAAGAAAGAGAAAGAGAAAGGAGAGAAAAGAGAGAAGAGAAAGAGATGAGAGAGAAAGAGAAAGAAAGAGAAAAGAGAGAAGAGAGAAAGAAGGGGGGCGAAGAAAGGGAAATAGAAAGAGAGAGAGAAAGAAAGAGAGAGAACGAGAAAGAGAGAGAGAGAGAGAGAGGCGGAGAGGAGCAGAGAAGGAAAGAGAAAGAGAGAGAGAGAGAGAGGAGAGAGAGACGAGAAAAAGAAGACAGAGAGAGAGAGGAGCAGAGAGAGAGAGAGAGAGAGAGAGAGAGGCGAGAGAAATGAGAAGAAGACGAAGAGAGAGAGAGACCGAGATGAGAGAGACGCCAGAGAGAGAAGAGAGAGAGAGAGAGAGAGAGACGAGAGCAAGAGAGCGAGAAGAGGTGGGGGTGAGGGGGGGGTTACAAAGGCCGATGAAGACATATATAATAATAATAATAAATAAGTACGGTGTCATATTTTCACTTTAACAGCAAGCTTTTAAGCAGTGTCATATCTCCGCTGCAGGCTACAACGCCTACCCGTCTTTTAATACACTAGCTA